TTTGCCCTTGCGGCTGCTGCGCTTCAGATAGATGGGCACCTTGGTGGACATTGTGACCTCACCACCCAGGCCTGGCTGCCAAGGCCACGGCCTCACGCTGCCTGCTCTCAACACCCTCAGCCAGAAACACTCCCTCCAGAGTGTGGTTTTCAGATCCCAAAACCTTGCCAAAGGCCAAAGACTAGGGCGTGGAGCGTGTTGACCGAAGTTGGTCCACGGAATTGGAAAAAGAAAAATTAAAGATCAATAAGTCAGGGGATTACGATTACAAAAATCACTGTCTCCCCAAAGGGTTGAAAACTCTTTTGTGAAAATCAGAGGCAGAAAGGCGGAGATCTTGTAGGCAGCAATGTGCTTTGGTCTTGGCTCTGAAAGTTTCTCCCCAGTCCAGGGCTGAGCTGAAACACAAAGGGGACACATGAGTCAGGGGCAGGAGGACAAAAGTCAGAAGCATCTGTCTTGTTGCTGGGCCCGTCTTGTTTCTTGTTTCTGGGCATCAGCCGTGGGAGCTCAACTGGGGCCACTCTCCTGTGGGGGCCCTGCTGGAGGAAGCATGGCTTCGTTCACTGACCCACTGTATCTTAGAGCCTAGACCACCTGTGCCAAGCCCCTCCCCGCAGACTGAGGCCCAGGAACCTGACGACAGGTGTGAAGTCACATACAAAGTCCTGCTCTGGGGCAGGCCGGGTTAGCTCAGTTTGTTAGAGCGTGGTGTTGATAACACCAAGGTCCGGGGTTCAGATCCCCCTACTGGCCAGTCGCCTAAACATAAAAACTAAAACAAAGTCTTGCTCTAGTCCCTGGCCCTGGGTCCCTGGCTCAGCTCAACACCATTGCCCGGACCCTCACTCCCTACCCTGACCTCCCTTGCACACCAACTGTGCCCCACAACAGTCAGTGCTGATTGTGTGTGTGGCAGGGGGGTGGGGGGTGTCACAGGTGGTCTCAACTCCCTATTCGGCCATCACTGCTGAATGGCTGACATCACCCAATTATGTCCCACCTGGAGGTAAGGTCACCTTCTTGGAGTTTCTCTTTTCTCCTCCTCCAGGTTACAGAGTTCCTTACTGGCAGGGGCTGAGACTAATATAGTTTCTGGCCCTCCTTCCTGCCCCAGCACCTAGTACAAATATTTTTATGGGGACTCTGCTCTGTACCTGGCATTCTTCTGAGCTCTTTGCAAACACATCTCAATTAATCATCACAACCACCCTTCTATCATCCCCATTTAAAAATCAGAGTTCTCAGACATTTTGGAGGGATTCCCGCAAGGCACTACAGAGGGAGAGAAGCAAAATGTAAAAATGTAGTGTAGATGGTGCCATTTATTGAAAGCATTAGCCAGCTGCCCTCCTCCCACTCCCTGTGTATGCACGTATCGCACCTACGCATGTACAGACGTATATGGGTCTGTATAGGATTCTATCCTATATAAGGACAGAGAAGACTCTGGAAGCCCAACACTAGCTTGTTATATGGGCTGCTTTGATAGGGGTGGGGAGCTGAGATGGGCTGTTGGGTCAGTGATATGGGAGGAGAGGTGTCCTCAATAAAAATGACCTGTAATATTTGGACCCGTTACTATAACATGATAGACGTGTGTGGTAAATGTAAATATGAGAGGATGGTTGTCCAAATGCTGCTAGTGGTTATCTCAAAGTGGCAGAATTTCAGAGTTACTTTTCCTTTCTTGTTCAGATTTTTATTAACTCAAATTCTTAATAATAAGCATGCATTATTTATATGTACATATTATTTATGTAGTCAGGAAAAAATAAAGCCATTTTTAATGTGAAAAAAATAAACGCACTATGGAGAGGTTCATACTGGTTTAATAGAAAAAGGAAACAGCAAGTATTCCGCCTGTCTGGGGAGGGGGCGTCGTCCAGGCAGTAAAGTAGGGCCTGATTGGCCAGATGCACACGAGTCCAGATGTAGAATCAGCATAAAAGGCAAAGGAAAAAACTTGTCCAAGGTCACCCAGAGAGTAAGGGCAGGGCCAGGGCTCAAGCCAGATGAGCCCACCCTTTCCCACTGACCCTCGCCAGGCTGAACAAAGGCTGAGCAAAAGCACATCTGCCAGTTCCTCCGCCCCAAGGGGAGGTTGAGAATGAGGGGCTGGTGGGGGAGGGGGCAGGAAGAAGCAGGATGCAGGAGAGGTAGTGTCCCAACCCCCCCTCCACACCCCCTCCAGCCCAGGCCCTCACTCAGGAAACCCCANATAATAAGCATGCATTATTTATATGTACATATTATTTATGTAGTCAGGAAAAAATAAAGCCATTTTTAATGTGAAAAAAATAAACGCACTATGGAGAGGTTCATACTGGTTTAATAGAAAAAGGAAACAGCAAGTATTCCCTCTGTCTGGGGAGGGGGCGTCGTCCAGGCAGTAAAGTAGGGCCTGATTGGCCAGATGCACACGAGTCCAGATGTAGAATCAGCATAAAAGGCAAAGGAAAAAACTTGTCCTCTGTCTGGGGAGGGGGCGTCGTCCAGGCAGTAAAGTAGGGCCTGACTGGCCAGATGCACACGAGTCCAGATGTAGAATCAGCATAAAAGGCAAAGGAAAAAACTTGTCCAAGGTCACCCAGAGAGTAAGGGCAGGGCCAGGGCTCAAGCCAGATGAGCCCACCCTTTCCCACTGACCCTCGCCAGGCTGAACAAAGGCTGAGCAAAAGCACATCTGCCAGTTCCTCCGCCCCAAGGGGAGGTTGAGAATGAGGGGCTGGTGGGGGAGGGGGCAGGAAGAAGCAGGATGCAGGAGAGGTAGTGTCCCAACTCCCCCTCCACACCCCCTCCAGCCCAGGCCCTCACTCAGGAAACCCCACCCCACGACCGGACACCCCGGGTCAGTCATGCTGAGCCACAGAGGCTGGACATCTTACTCCTCCCAGAACACCTGCAGCTTAACTGGAAACAAAGGAATGACTCTCCAGTGGTGGAATTCCAGCTAAGCTTGGAAGGAGCTGGGGGAGGGCAGAGGGTGGCACGGTGGTCACCCAAGGTCCTGGAATCCCATCACTCATTCACCCTGTGTCCACCATGGCAGGCCTGGAGGGCATGCTGGCCGACATCCAATCTGCCCCTGGTCAGGCGAGAAGTCCAGGGGTAGCTTTTTCTTCCTTTTCAGCCATGGAGAGTGAGGCTGACTGGTGGGATTTTCCCAGAGCCTGGGCCAGGTCCTCCCCCACGCCATCACACAGGAGTGCCAAGACAGCCTGAGTGTTTCCACAACAAATTGGCGTCGCTGACAGCTGTCTCGCTCAGAGCCAATGTACCGCCCAATTCCAGATGTGGAGAGAACCAAGGGTGGGGGGAAGGGTGGGACCAGCATCACCCTCCCAGGGGAGGGCTGAGATGACAACCATCGAGCCCTGAGTATTCAGATTTGGCAACCACAAGACCCCAGGCTCCAGCCTGCCAGTCACAGCTTCTCAGTTTAATGCTCCCAGCCATAGCACAAAGGGTGTCATTACTGCCTCTTACAGAGGCTGAAGCTGAACCTCAGCGAGGTTAAGTAACTTTGCCCAGGTCATCCAACTGCTAAGTGGAAGGGTGGGCATGGTACCCAGCGTGGTCCATGTGGCTCCAGTGCAGTGGGCCACACCAACCTCTATAATCTGGCTGGAGAGCAGGAGAAAAACAGGCTCCCAGCTAGGCTGGAGCCAAAGGGACCCCAGGCCTTCATCTAAGTCCTACCCTGTGGCTGCCACCCTCCAACCTGCAAGGGTCCAGAGATATGAGAACAAACTCCCCATCAGGGCAAGGCTGGGGCGGGGGGAGGGGGGCAGAGAGGGGGTCTCCCTGCAGCAGTGAGAGGTGCACATAGGAGTCATCCAGCTCTCTGGGCTTGCCCTAGACAGGAGCCCTGGGCCTCCCTCAGAGAAATCAATTTCCTGGAGGCAGAGCCCCTCCTGTCATGGGGAATATTAGACTACCCTGCACTAGGAATGTTCGAGGAGCAGTGCCCTGATCTTGAAAGCAGGAGACTGACCTTGAATCCAGCTCCACCTGGGACTCACTCTGTGATCTCGGGCAAGACACCTCTCCTCTCTGGATCTCACCTTCCCCATCTGTAAAATGGGCTGACAATAAAGCCACCACCAAAGGGCTGTTGGAGACCCCACTGCTGTACTGCAAGCCAGAGCGCCACTGTACAATAGGCGGGGTCAGCGGGTCACTCACTGTCAGCCCTGTCATTCAATCATTCATTCAGCAAGTATCTGCAAGGCCTTCCTCAAGCACTTTGGTTCTCCGGGGGCAGTTTCACACAAGGCCAAAACGAACGGCTCCTGGCCTCCGGCGTCCGCCTGCTCCCGCCCGCTCAGACGTCGCGGGCCCGGAATCCTCCTCCCCAGCCGCGGGGTCT